CAAAACCCAAACAAAGTGTTTTGTCCCCTCAAGATCATTTCCCCTGCAGATTTTACTGCTTCCATTTTTACACTGATTTCCATGTACACCCCCCCCAAAAGGGGCTGAAATTTTTGCCCCCCCGGGTTTTTCCCTTTGCTTTGCCCCACAGAAAGGGCAAACCCACACATTCCTGCTCGTTGTCCCCTTTGACCAGTTTTAGGGGATGTTTTTTTTGTTTGGTTTTGTAGAACTGGGGATAGGGATGGGGAATGTAGTCGGGATCCTCCAGAATCAGAACTCTTCACACTGAGGACATCTAGCTGATCTCTTAAGTACCCTTGTGAAGTCTCGGCTGACAGTAGATAGCAGACTTCTCAGTAACAAATAGCAGCAAGTAGTTGTAGGAGAGCCAAGTCCCATTAGCAGTAGCAATACTTGGACAAGCTCTGCAGACACTAGGGCAGGGCTCCCTTTCTCAGACCCAGGCTGACTATCAAGCACCAGAGGGGTAAATCAAGCACACAGAGCCCCCCAGATCTCTCAGAGTTTGCACTCACAGGTCAAGGACAGAATGGTTGCCTCCTTCCAATCTTCCAAGCCACTCTCTCCAGTGACAACCAGACAGAGCTTTGGCAGACAGACAGCTCCCCTCAGTCAGCTTACTGTAGAATCAGGGGCCGGTCATTTGTCTAGCCAATTCCCATGTTCTGGAAGACTCTCATAGCTTCCTGAAGGCAGGAAGAACTCAGACAAACTCCAACAGAACCAGAGCAGCATGAGCAGCCCTGACTAATCAATCACAGCTCTCTGTAACTCAGAATACCGACTGAATTTACCTGACAGCCTCTCTGGTGAGCAGAGAACACAGCTATGCTTTACCTGACTACACATCCTAGACCTGACCAGGAGGGGGCGCTACATTCAATTCATCTCATCAGATTTGCTGCTATAGGAAATCATCTCAAATCCTGTGCAAATCCATGGAGACAGACAATATTGTGTGCTCAGTATAGTGTTCTCTGCAAGTCCACCGCTTCCACTTTGCAGCTACTTCAATCCACTTATTTTACTCCAAAAATCCACCAATCAGTGAAAAGTTGATAAGGTGCGAAAGTGCTCCGCCCTCCAAATTGTGTGGGCTGTAGTGTAGCCACGCCTTCTTCCACCTCTTGTACACGGGATGGTGAGGGCGCCCCCTAGTAGTGCTTCCCCCTCATCACACCAATAGGACTCCCAGCTTTTCAGCTCCCAGAGTCAGAAACATCCTTCACACTCTCCTCATCTCCGATGGTAAAGGAACCGGATCCTCCTCGCTCACTCCTGCAAGTCTGCTGCGGGTTCTGTCAGTCTCCCTCCTAGACTCCGCCTCCAACCGCCATTCCAGCAGGAGCTCCGCCTCTAAATACACACTCAGGGAGGAGAGAAAGGGGAACCCGACATCGTGTGACACCTTTTATTACATGGAAATATGAAAATCAACGGGACTAATGCAATCACATTTACTGCAAAATCAATGGAGCCAAAATGTGTCCCCCGAGCAGTCATATATTTCTGTCCCCCTTGGTGGGAGTGGAGGTGACCCCTCTATAAGGATCTACAGTCCATACACACCCAGCACAAGGCCGGGGTCACACTACCAGACGCTTCTCGGGGCTGCAGTTCCTCTGTGCTCCACAAGGTGGGGATCTCACTTCTACCCAGACAGGAAGTCTCTATGGAAGACAGACAGGAAGTGATGTCAGGTAGAGACAGGAAGTGATGTCAGGTACAGACAGGAAGTGATGTTAGGTACAGGCAGGACGTATAGAGGAGACCTTGGTGGAAGTAGCAGCAGAGGAGGTAATACGATGTTATTTTCTATTTACACCCAGTAACCCCCGTCATGTCTGTCCTCTGACTTCTACCCAGACAGGAAGTTCCATGAATAAGGAAGTAGAGAGGAGACATTCCTGGATCTGGCAGCAGAGAGGTAATACGTAGATGAACCCCTTCAGGGGGAGGAGTTGATGATAATATATTTGCTCCCAAAGCTGGCCTACATGGTTCAGTTTTATCGTTCAGCCAGCGGGATGACCATAAAACCTGAAGTGATTCCCCCATCCACACATTGGAGGTGGATGGGGGAATCCTCCCCGCTGCACTCTTGTATTCTGACAATGGGGGGACTCCTCCGCTCTCAGCAATACACAGGGACTCCAGAATACACAGATCAGCACTCAAGCTATTGGCTGCAGCCGCTGGGGGAGTGGCTTTTATCCGGCAGTGGCCACACATGGATGGAAATGTGAGCGATCCCTGCTGAACCGCTGAATTTCCATGGATCTATGGTCACCTTCAGTGACTTCCTCCCCTCCCCCTCATCTCCTTCATGATGGAGACTATTGTCTGCTATTTACACTCCCTTCCTCCGCACGTCACCTGATCACATGACAGCTTACTTCCACAGATTCCGGACAAGTTTCTCGATGGTAAAGGTCAAAGTTCACTCTTCAGTTTAGGAGAGGTAGGACGCACCCAGGAACAAGGATTTGGTTTGTTTGTAGAGGAGCCTCATATAGAGGACCCCTCAAATCTCCCCATCCAAATGTCCCTCCATCCAGAGTCTATATCTCCTATGACATCACACTGACCTCACAGCTCCTCCTCCCAATGTCCCTCCATCCAGAATCAGAGAATCCTATGACATCACACTGACCTCACAGCTCCTCCTCCCAATGTCCCTCTATCCAGAGTCAGAGAATCCTATGACATCACACTGACCTCACAGCTCCTCCTCCCAATGTCCCTCCATCCAGAGTCAGAAAATCCTATGACATCACACTGACCTCACAGCTCCTCCTCCCAATGTCCCTCCATTCAGAATCAGAGAATCCTATGACATCACACTGACCTCACAGCTCCTCCCCCCAATGTCCCTCCATCTGACACTTTTTCTGATGCTCTTAGGATGTGGGGTCCCTTGGTATCCTCACATGTAAAGTGGGACTGTTGGTCCTGCGTTGTATGTAATGACATCAGAATGCTGCAACAAGCCTATACCCTGCGTAGTGTGGGGGTCCTGTGGGGGGAATTATACCTCAGCCTGAAGTGGGGCTTTAATAAAATGGAGACCTGAATGGAGAGGTGAGGAGGATTCTGGGAATATCATTTGATGTGACTCTTTGTGTTCAGATGTAGAGTTTTCCTCCTGTGAAGTCTGGAGATCATATGACATCACATTGCCTCCACCTCCCTCCCTGATAGAAGAGAGAAAGAAGAAGAAGATTCTAGAAGTCACCAGAGAGATCACTGAGCTGCTGACAGGAGAGGAGGTGCGGTGCCGGGAATTCTGGGACATTCTCCAGTAACAGACAAGGGATGTGTCTGGATGGTGACTGTATCATTGTGTGTGTCAGGTTCCTATAAGGTGTCAGGGTGTCACTGTCTATTTCTCCATGGAGGAGTGGGAGTATTTAGAAGGACACAAGGATCTCTACAAGGACGTCATGATGGACAATCAGCCGCCCCTCACATCACCGGGTAAGAGGAGACTTTATTGTAAAGGAGAGAGCAGTACGGAGGATCCACCTAGATCCCCCATCATCTGATAAACACATAGAAACAATGGATTCAGTCAGTGTGTGTGTTTCCTACAGATGGATCCAGTCATGGGAACCCACCAGAGAGATGTCCCCGTCCTCTGTATTCCCGGGATTCCAAACAGGAAGGTCACACCATCCCTCACCATCATCAGGTAGATGAGTGACAATTATTGGTAGTTGTGATTTATACACAGCATGTTTGTTACAATGAATGTTTTATTATATCTTTCAGAGTGGAATCCTCGGGGATGAGAATATTGATGTTAAAGAAGAGTATAAAGAGGAGGATGAGGAGTATGGAGTGATGGAGGAGTTTTCAGAAGGACACAAGGATATGATGGAGCCACCTAATACCAGGAACCCACCAGAGAGATGTCCCCGTCCTCTGTATTCCCGGGATTCCACACAGGAAGGTCACACCATCCCTCACCATCATCAGGTAGATGATGACAATTATTGGTAGTTGTGATTTATACACAGCATGTTTGTTACAATGAATGTTTTATTATATCTTTCAGAGTGGAATCCTCGGGGATGAGAATATTGATGTTAAAGAAGAGTATAAAGAGGATGATGAGGAGTATGGAGTGATGGAGGAGTTTTCAGAAGGACACAAGGATATGATGGAGCCACCTAATACCAGGAACCCACCAGAGAGATGTCCCCGTCCTCTGTATTCCCGGGATTCCACACAGGAAGATCACACCATCCCTCATTGTTACAAGGTTGGTGGGATGGAGCATCTAGAACATGGATTCATAGAGACAATGTGTGGAGTTTTTATGTGATGTAACAATATTAACGCTTATGTCTTACAGATGTTATTTTCTTTTCTTCCATTGATTTAGGGTGAAGATCTGATAGATATAAAATTTGAGGTGAAAGCAGAAGAAGAAGAGGCGTATGTGAGGGATGATCAGCAGTCTATGGAGGAGGATGGAATAACGGGGACATTTATAGAGGAGGACACTCCTACAGAGATCAGCACAGGTGGGTCATGAACACTAAATCCATTCCTCCACCCATACTGCTCACTGATTGGTCCAGAGTAGGGCGGGGACTGGGTGATATCAGCCTGTAATCCCCTGGTCACTTTCCTGAGCTGTGTTCCCCGTCCTGTATTCCTGGATTTCTCTCGGATAACACTGTTCAACAAATTTTTATTTTTTGCCAGTTTTGGAAACAAAAGGATCCATTTCTTAATGAATTTCACATTCCGAGTTCAAATATAACAATGAAATTTGTCAATTGGCTCTAGTTGTTCTGTAAACGGAAAGTTTTCTACTATAGGCGTAATGACTACATAATGCACAATAATTTTATAGATAGATGTCTTTCCACAAATATAAAGCAAGTGATATTGACTACATAACAAAGCCTAAATGGCATAATATATTGCATAGGATTACCAAGAAAAATTATAGCCATAAGCTAAGTTGAATCATTTTAATACTTAGGATTCTCACTAGTTTTGTCTTCAGTTTGTGTCGGTTTTGCTTCTCTTGGCTTTTCTCTTGTATTCGAGGAAAGGGCTATCTCTTACAACTGCACGTGACTACACGCTTCAGGTTCTTCCTCACTTGACTCAACCACGAAGGATTCTGGTGCTTTAGGAATTGGTAGCCCCTCTCCATGAGGAACTGGACGTATTGCCGATGGAATATTTGGATAGTGCACAGATAACTTTTTCTTCTTATTTAGCCCTTTTACAATTGGAGGCACCATACAAAAGTAACAATTACTAACATGATCTGTTGGCTCTCTCCAAATCATTGGCACAGCGAAAGGCATAGATGCCTTTTTTCCATTCAACCATTGCTCCAGTGCCGTCCCACAAGAATTGCAGCATATATGTGGTGCCCAGCTCTTGTCCTGGTCTCCTATCTTGCAGCCAAAATATAAGTTGTAGGCTTTCTTAATCATTCCTGTTATCCTCTTTTTTTGTGAGATAAAAGTTATTTCACCGCAGATATAGCAGAAATTATCTGCTTTATTCACACAAGTTCGAGGCATTACTGAGTAGCCTATATAAGCAGAAAACCAAATGTAAAGACGCTGTCGAACTACAATCAGCTACAGATACTGCAGCTTTTATGCAGTGAAGTGATGCAATTAAAGGCTAATATTGCATCATCTCAGTATACATGCAATTTTCTATTGGTCACCAGTATCAATTGCGCAATATGCAGCTGAAGTTGCATCATAATTTTGAATAGCTTATGTCATTAGATGGGTGAATATATCATGGAAACTAGAGCCAATCAACATTTTTTAGGGTCATTTTCGTTTTCAGCACCCCAAAATTATGTAAGATTAGCTAATTTTATGCCCAAAACTTTTTACCTGTTGAACAGTGTGATCTTCCTTCTCTGTGCTGCAGACACAATTTATGTCTCTAGACTGGATTTATGGAGGTTCTGGGGTTCAGCTGGCAGCAAAATGTTGATTTTTACAATAAGCATTACATAATGTAGGCACCCAGGACATGTGACTGGGGTCTCCTGCCTTGTGCCTGACTCCTCCAGGGGACCTTCTCTGTTATCTGCTGGCTGTGCCGGGTGGAGGGATATGTCTGTAGTGTCTCAGACCCAAGTCACTGAGTGCAGTCTCAGGAGATGGGAGGCAGCGGTGTGGGATCTCTGCAACTTGTCTACAGTAAACATTTAATCTTCCACTGATTACTGAATACCAATATTATAAGTCCTGACCCTTACACTGTATAATTTATAGAAAAAAATATGCAGCGCTAAAAAACATATATCTTATAAAGGTAAGTATAACCATACAGTTGCAAGAAAAAGTATGTGAACCCCTTGGGATTACGTGGAGTTTTGCATGAATTGGGCATAAAATGTGCTCTGAACATCATCTAAGTCACAACAATAGAAGAACACAGTCTGCTGAACATAATACTACACAAACATTAGATGTTGCCATGGTTTAATTGCTAATAATATGTAAACATTCACAGTGCAGGGAGGAAAAAGTATGTGAGGCCCTAGCTTAATGACTTCTCCCAGAGCTAATTGGAGCCAGGAGTGAGCCAACCTTGACTCCAATCAGTGTGATGATATTGGATGTGTTGCTGACAGCTGTCCTGCCCTTAAAAAACACACACACCTGTTTTGGGTTTACTGGTTTCAAGAAGCACTGTCTGATGTGAACCATGCCTCGCAGAAAAGAGCTCTCAGAAGACCTACCATCAAGAATTGTTGACCTGCATGAAGCTGGAAAGGGTTACAAAAGTATCTCCAAAAGCCTTGATGTTCATGTGTCCACGGTAAGACAGACTGTCTACAAATGGAGAAAGTTTAGCACTGTTGCTACTCTCCCTAGGCGTGGTCGTCCTGTAAAAATGACTGCAAGAGCACAGCGCAGAATGCTGCATGAGGTAAAGAAGAATCCCAGAGTGTCAGCTAAAGACCTACAGAAATCTCTGGCACATGCTAACATTTTTGTTGACACATCTACAATAAGGAAAACATTGAACAAGAATGGAGTACATGGGAGGACACCACGGAGGAAGCCATTGCTGTCCAAAAAGAAGATTGCAGCGTGTTTGAAGTTTGCAAAAGAGCACCTGGATGTTCCACAGCACTACTGGCAGAATATACTGTGGACAGATGAAACCAAGATTGAGTTGTTTGGGAAGAACACACAACACTATGTGTGGAGAAAAAAAGGCACAGCACACCAACATCAAAACCTCATCCCCACTGTGAAACATGGCGGAGGGAGCATCATGGTTTGGGGCTGCCTCAGGGCCTGGAGGGATTGTTGTCATTGATGGGAAAATGAATTCCAGAGTTTATCAAGACATTTTGCAGGAAAACGTACGACCATCTGTCCGCCAACTGAAGCTCCGCAGAGGATGGGTGATGCAACAGGAAAATGACCCAAAGCATACAAGTCATTCAACAAAACAATGGCTGCAACAGCACAGAATACGCCTTCTGGAGTGGCCCAGTCAGAGTCCTGACCTCAACCCGATTGAAATGCTGTGGCATGACCTTAAGAGAGCGATTTACACCAGACATCCCAAGAATATTGCTACACTGAAACAGTTTTGTGAAGAGGAGTGGTCCAAAATGACTCCAGATCGTTGTGCAGGTCTGATCTGCAACTACAGGAAACGTTTGGTTGAGGTTATTGCTGCCAAAGGAGGGTCAACCAGTTATTAAGTCCAAAGGTTCACATACTTTTTCCTCCCTGCACTGTGAATGTTTACATGTTATGTGCAATTAAACCATGGCAACATCTAATGTTTGTGTAGTATTATGTTCAGCAGACTGTGTTCTTCTATTGTTGTGACTTAGATGACATTCAGACATTTTATGCCCAATTCATGCAAAACTCCACGTAATCCCAAGGGGTTCACATACTTTTTCTTGCAGCTGTAAGTGGCCGCTGATATGAGCGCAAAATGGTGCAAATTACATCTTGGCTTGATTATTGCGAGCCTCACAAGGTGGAGCCATTTAGGAGTGTGGAGTCAATGCTTAGAGCTGCCTGATGAGTCTGTGAGCGGAGTGAGACCCCCGAGTGTGAGTTATCATCTTGAGTGTCCACTGCTGAGCCTGATGACCCCGCAGCCTCGGACCAGATCCGATGACCCCATCATAAGAATATACATATAATGCGCATATTATATGTACTTCTGGTAAGTGCATCACCTCACCAGATCTTGGCACCAGTATTGATGGTCACGAAGCACGGATCACCTTGCATGATGGACATCATTATTTTGTGATTGGACTCACTAGGACTGTCACGTTATTACTGTTACGTCATTCATAGACGTATTTCCACTGCACTACTTTTGCGCTCATATCAGCGCCCACTTATAATATACGGTTATACTTACCTTTATTTTTTTATTTTTGTATTAACAATTTTTATTAGTTTTCACATATATATATATAGTGGGGGGCAAAAAAGTATTTAGTCACCACCAATTGTGCAAGTTCTCCCACTTACAAAGATGAGAGAGGCCTGTAATTGGCATCATAGGGAGACCTCAACTATGAGAGACAAAATGAGAAAACAAATCCAGACAATCACATTGGCTGATCTGGAAAGAATTTATTTGCAAATTATGGTGGAAAATAAGTATTTGGTCACCTACAAACAAGCAAGATTTCTGGCTCTCACAGACCTGTACCTTCTTCTTTAAGAGGCTCCTCTGTCCTGCACTCATTACCTGTATCAATGGCACCTGTTTGAACTTGTTATCAGTATAAAAGACACCTGTCCACAACCTCAAACAGTCACACTCCAAACTCCACTATGGTGAAGACCAAAGAGCTGTCGAAGGACACCAGAAACAAAATTGTAGACCTGCACCAGGCTGGGAAGACTGAATCTGCAATAGGCAAGCAGCTTGGTGTGAACAAATCAACTGTGGGAGCAATAATTAGAAAATGGAAGACATACAAGACCACTGATAATCTCCCTCGATCTGGGGCTCCACGCAAGATCTCACCCCGTGGGGTCAAAATGATCACAAGAACGGTGAGCAAAAATCCCAGGACCACAAGGGGGGACCTAGTGAATGACCTGCAGAGAGCTGGGACCAATGTAACAAAGGCTACCATCAGTAACACACTGCGCCGCCAGGGACTCCTGCAGTGCCAGACGTGTCCCCCTGCTTAAGCCAGTACATGTCCGGACCCGTCTGAAGTTTGCTAGAGAGCATTTGGATGATCCAGAAGAGGATTGGGAGAATGTCATATGGTCAGATGAAACCAAAATAGAACTGTTTGGTAGAAACACAACTCGTCATGTTTGGAGGAGAGAGAATGCTGAGTTGCATCCAAAGAACACCATACCTACTGTGAAGCATGGGGGTGGCAACATCATGCTTTGGAGCTGTTTCTCCGCAAAGGGACCAGGACGACTAATCCATGTACAGGACAGAATGAATGGGGCCATGTATCGTGAGATTTTGAGTGCAAACCTCCTTCCATCAGCAAGGGCATTGAATATGAAAC